GTACGCCATGAAGTCTCTGATAAAGACCGAGATGTTCAAGAAGGACCAACTTGCCCACGTCCGTTCCGAGAGAGATATCTTGGCCGAGTCAGACAGTCCCTGGGTCGTCAAGCTCTTTACGACTTTCCAGGACTCTTACTTCCTGTACATGTTGATGGAGTTCTTGCCCGGAGGTGACTTGATGACCATGCTGATCAAGTACGAAATCTTCTCTGAAGACATTACGCGCTTCTACATTGCCGAGATCGTGCTTGCGATTGAGGCAGTCCACAAGCTGGGCTTCATTCATCGGTAAGTCAAATGTTGTCGGTAAGCTCAGAGCCCGCGAAGCTGACAGGCCCAGTGATATCAAACCCGATAATATTCTACTGGACCGCGGAGGTCACGTCAAGCTTACCGATTTCGGACTCTCGACCGGTTTCAACCGCTTGCACGACAACAACTACTACCAACAGCTGCTGCAGGGCCGATCTAACAAACCGCGCGACCGTAACTCTGTTGCCATTGACCAGATCAACCTTACCGTCAGCAACAGATCCCAGATCAACGACTGGCGACGGTCGAGAAGACTGATGGCCTATTCCACCGTCGGAACGCCCGATTACATCGCTCCCGAGATCTTCACAGGTCACGGCTACACCTTTGACTGCGATTGGTGGTCCCTGGGCACCATTATGTTTGAGTGCTTGGTTGGATGGCCTCCTTTCTGCGCCGAGGACAGCCACGACACATACCGCAAGATTGTCAATTGGAGACAAACGCTGTACTTCCCTGATGATATCCAGCTTGGTGTGGAAGCCGAGAACCTGATTAGAAGGTGAGTAAGTCTCAGAACAGAGGCATTTCAGGGTACTAATATGGGTCAGCTTGATCTGTAACACAGAGAACCGCTTGGGTCGCTCGGGCGCCCACGAAATCAAGCAGCACTCATTCTTCAGAGGAGTTGAGTTCGATAGCCTGCGTCGCATCAGAGCTCCTTTCGAGCCTCGCTTGACTTCAGCCATCGATACCACGTACTTCCCGACCGATGAGATTGATCAGACTGATAACGCCACGATTCTCAAGGCTCAGGCCGTTCAGCAAGCCCGCTCGGGTGTGCCAGCGGTGGTCGAGGAGTCTCCCGAGATGAGCTTGCCCTTCATTGGATACACCTTCAAGCGGTTCGACAACAACTTCCGATAAGCGCGACAAACGCATTGTTTTGGTGGCCAGCTTATTGCGACTTGTATCCCGATCCCGGGGTGTACCGATATCATGCCGAGCAAGACGCGGAGATTCGGAGGACCAAGAGAATACCTATCAGTGATTCGCTGGCGACTCCATTTTGCCTACTGCCAAACCAATACACCCAGATTCTTGTCTTACAAGATTTGCATTTACCGTTGTTTTTTGTTTTCAATCACTGCATACAGGGCGTTTACTCGCATCAAAGACACCAAGTCGCACAAATCATGTAGATGGGAGGGTGAAAACGAGATGTCTTTCAAGGGGGTATGTAGTCGAGACGGCCGCGGATCACTAGAGTTTTCATTATGAGAAACATGATGAAGAAGACGGATAGTAGGGGGCAGCGTGAGGAGGGGATGTCAGGATGTACTGGTAATGCTGGATCTATCAGTGATGGATGACACTGGGATTCAGAGAGTCATGAGGACGACTGGCAACAGTGAAGTGATAGATGCAATCCAGACGATGCATTTGAGAACAAGACTTGGGACTTGATGGTTCATAATGTTTGTGATGCTTTTATTGTCGGCCTCTGGTGGCTATAGACGGTACATCTTCAAGTGTATACTGTCTTTGAGTAAGTTACGTAGGTTGTTTGGCCACGAACTTCTCACCATTCTTTCAATCCGATTGGGCACAGGCGAAAACCACACTGCAGGTCCACCGTCTAGGAAGTGCTAGACGCCTCTTCCTCTCCCAGTGTCTTGAAGGACCACATCAAGTTTCTGTATAAGCCTCTGTCAGGAGCCGAACTTTGCACTATTTGATAGAAGTGACCTGTGGTCAGATTACATTCATTGTTGATGGGTCTACATTCTGTCTGTTTTGTCTTACTATTGGTACTTGTTGAATAGGATGCCTTCGTAGGAATCTCTGAATGTAACTTATGAAGCCAAAGCTTTTTGCTGAACTCCATGGCCCAGTGCCACGTCGAAACCTCTCCTGAAGGTTCATGTCAGCTCTTCTATTCCCTTGCCCGGGGGCCTGATAAGCAAAAGCAAGTCTTACAAACAATTCCCTCTCTCGAATTACCCACGCCCAACGCCGTGGTATGACACCCCCTGATGTCACTGGAATAGGGCCATGTGGGCCACTGCTGACCAAGTTGACCCAGATAACAACCGTTTGCTTCAATGCTGGCCGAGGCACGAACCCTGATCACTATGAGAGATAGTCTCCTGGTGAATCCTGTATCTGAGCGAAGCAGAACTGCCTTCGTGGTATGCCGCAGAAACCCCTCCCGTCATGTCGTTTTATACAGCCTTTTCTAACACCCTTTCCGCGAACAACAACGCAGCTGTTCCCTTCCCACCACTTCACCTCCTCGTACCAGGCGCCGCAACATACCTCTCCTCGCGCTCCGACATGAACATGACCTGCAGCCAATACTCCTTCGCATCGGGATCCCAAAAGCTAAACTGCTTATCGTCGCGCTTATCCAGCTCGCGCGCGGGGATCTTGAACCCGCACGTCTCGTACGGCTCCGCCGCCACCAGGAGGTACTGGAAATTCTTATCCGGCTCCTCGATGCGCTGCGTGAAGGCGTTCATGACCTGCCACTTGGGCTCCACGTCGGGCGCGATGTCCGGGTACTGAAGCTGAAATAGCAGCCCCTGCTGACGCGTGATCGGATCGCGAATCTTTGTAATCTTGTACCCCGGCCGCCCAATCTTGATCAGATTCCGCCTCGCGCCTCCCGCGCCGAAGCCGGCGCCGACGACGCCGACGGGTAACCCGGTCGCCGGGTCGATGTTTTGTTTCCCCTCTTTCTGTTCGCGGGCGGCGCGGCGGGCGAGGTTGGTCTGGTGCTTTTTGCCCTGGGTGTGGGCGAGGTAGGAGCCGTCGTTTTGGTGGACGGTGAGGCAGAGGCGGCACTCGAAGGAGCCGACGTGGTTTTTGAAGAAGTAGGGGTCCTTGTCGAGGTCGATTGTTTCGAGGGCGAGCTTGCGGAGGCGTTCGCGGCGGTCTGCGTTTGTTGCGCTGAAGGAGGCTACGCCGCCGCCGCCGAATTTGGAGCCGGCGCGGTTTTGGTAGTCCATCTTGAGAATGTATTTGGGGAGGTGTTTGCGATGAGGAGAGGGTTGGTCGTGGGGTTTTGGTGGTTGAGTTAAGGATTTTCGAGGTAGACCTTTTCCGCTGTGGGAAGAAAGCGCTTCCCTTGGGGAGTTGATTGTAGTGGTGTAGAAAGGGCGGTGGTCTGGTTGTGGAAGGACCAGTTTGGAAGGCTGGAAGCAACTCAACCGACAAGAGCTTGGAGTCGCGAAAAGTAAAGGTCCACTCGTGTTCACCTCGGTGAATCCGACACCAAAGCGGAGTCAAAGATTCTCCGGCCAATTTGATATGGCCCGTGCGTCGGTGAGCCCGGTCAGCTCCCACAAGTTCACAACTTCACACGGCCCACGTCCACTTACACCAACTTCCAACTTCCAACAACCATCACACTTCCCGCACCCCTTTGTCGATATTTCCCTCCCGGAACATCCAGAATGCTGGCTTTCCGCTCAACTTATTCGATCGAGGGCTCTATTCTTCAACAATTCGGGGGCGTGGCGCAATGGTAGCGTATCTGATTCCAGTCCAGAAGGCTGTCCGTTCGAGTCGGGCCGTCCTCAACTCATCTTTTGTCTTTTTGACAATAACGTAACTTGAAGGAAGAGGTACCAGATGTCTGTTTTCTGTTCGTACTGGCCTTGTAGGCAGGGCCATGCCGTATTGCCAAGGTGGATGGATGAGGCGCATGTGGGAGCCGAGAGCCTGATTTGCTGCTGCGTAGCCAGCCGGTATGCACTTTCGACAGGGGGGAACGGGTTTCTTGCGTTGATATTCTGAGGGAAGGCTATAAAAGACCCGGTCTGGAGAATCTTTAGCATTGCCAATTCCTCACGGCACGCAATGAGCTGGGCAGGAGTGGCTGTCCTCGCCCTATGCCCGGGTGGCGCACCGATTGTCGGTACCAAAGCCTGTCGAAGGCGTGCGCGTTCACGAGCTTACGTTGCCTGTTCCGGTGTAACTTGCTTCCTGCCATGGAGGATACAGATTAATTGGCTGACGTGGGGAGATCCCCATGCACGATCCCGACAGGCTATCAGAATCAGGCTTCGAAGCCCAATCATCGGCAGCGCCGCCGTTTGAGAGCTGAACAACTTCAGCCACTGCAATACCGCGTTCTGTTCACTCAAAACGTCGCCGGCGCCAATCTTTCAAGCTGCACAACATACATGGATGGCAGTCTCGAGCGTGGCTTACCTCGCCCCTGGGCGGTGCCTCTGGACCCTGGTCTACGCCTGACAAGTGTGGGCAGTTTGTACCTGCAAACCAACCCTCCTATGGAATCCATGGCTGGTCTGATGCGACGTCAGATTGAAGTGGTCTTAAGGCAATGACTTCCCATACAAGGTGCAACTAGACCTGATGTGCTGGAAGAGGCAGGTTCGCTATATATCCTTCCATGATTCTCAAGCACACGCGCCATTACTGTCCACGTCGAACCTTCGTGATTCCGTGGGCCGCGGCTGGGAAAATATCGCATGATCTCACTCCGTTTCTCTTGCTCGTATTCGACACATCTATACGGACATATATCGACATTCTTCATACTCCTTCATCATCATCATCACACATAGTCCTGCATCTTAATGCCCCTTCTCGATACCTCTTCGTTATAATCCTTCTCGGTCCTGCTTCTCTACCCTATCTACGCCTTGTTCTTCTCTGCTGTATTTACCAACAAATTGCGAACCTTGAGTATATTATACCTTATACAAACGAACGCCATGAGTCGCAACATCACTTCTCTTTGGTGGCCTAACCCACCACGGATCGACTTGTTATGGAATGTCACCACCGACTGTGTGCTGTTCGGAGACTTTGCACACAGCATCGTCCGCACCTCTCCGGACTTGGACTTTTGCGCCATCAATATCAATGCCCTGGTTAGTCTGGCTAAGTCCTCCGTGCTAGCCAGTCATCCGCGCTTGAGAGAATATAATATCGGCACGCCTCTGCAGATAGCGTCCTGGTACCTGGCTGGCTGCGGACTGAATGCATCTGATCCAACTTGCGATACGACCTGCTTGAGTGCTTTGAACTTCAGAGACCAAGTCAGGGCAGAGCTCGACAAATCTGCAAACATGACTTGCATCGGCGAGTTGCGCTCATCCCTTGGGATAAAAGGCAACGCTGATATTGCAGGCGTTGGAGTAAGCTCGAAGAACAAGCCCTACACCTCACTTGAAGCTAAGTCATATGTGTGTATGTGTAGGTCATGATTACTTTTTTCATCGAGGCTTTGCTCATTTCTGGCTTTTTGGCTGCACAAGTTGCGGAGTATTTCAATGGCCCCGTTCCGCCACTCCCGACGAGGTGGAATATCTACCAGAATCTCACAAATGCTTACAAAGTTACCTTGCCGGAATTCTATTGGAGCTCTGTTCTACTGAGTCTCGGCATTTCCATCGCCTCCGTCCGTCTCGCTGCAGCTGGTTCAGGCAATAGAACACGCGAACAAATAAACCAATGGATTGCTGGTGGAGATCTCACCGTATACGATTTGAGTCTCTCGACGCTAGCGTCACTATACAGTATTCAGGCGACAACAATCGCTAGCTTGATGCTCCTGGAACCAGGAAGACATCGACGTTTGCTGAATCTAGCCGCTATCCCTGTCTTAGCGCCGCTTCTCGTGGCAATAAATACTTTAGCAGTCACCTACAGCAATACACTGCCCGACGATGTCAACAAATTGCTTCAGGACCCACTCAGAAGTAATCGGGCAGTAAGAGAATTTCTCAAGGTTTCGATCTATGTCACCATACCCGTGATGGGTGTGTGCTGGTTGACTGCTTTGTCAGCTAGAGATAGGAGCAGGTTGGCAGTTCGTCAGGATGAGCAGGCATCTGCCCCAAAGGTGGGATCAGGAGAACAGCTGCCGGATCAAACAGTCGTGGATGAAGAACAGCATGATGCTCGGGAGTTGCAAGAGGAAGGGCTAAAGTTGACTCGAACAACTAAGAAGAACGAACCGATATCGGCTCGAGTCCTAGCAGTCCAAATATTTGTATCGCAAGTGATTTTGGTAAGCTTGATGCTGGCGACGCTTGGTATGTTCTTTGACTTTCGCAGACAGACTATCAACGGCGGCGCGGCGGGTGATCCGCAACTTGAATGGAGTTTTGGCCAAATTGTGGCTTTGACGACCTGGCTTCCGGTAATCATCGACTTCTGTTACGTATTTTTCGGTGAGTACTCTACTTGTGTTTCTCGTTGACTTTTACTCCAAACTCTCTTCCAAAATCAGTGCAGCTAAAAGTTTGAATCAGAGGGAATGATACCGGCCCTTCAAAAGCACATGCCGCCCGGGTTTGAAGCAATTGCTAGATCGAAATCCTAAGGAGGCGGCAACACTGAAAGGTACTGAGAGAACGAAACCAGACACTTCAGTTCATGCGGATGGAGAGGAGAGGTCCTGACAAGGCTAGTCAGGCTTAGAGTCTTATAGATTTGTTACAGATATATGCTTTTCATATTCAACGCCCGATTTAGATGGGGGGACTTGCATGATTCGATGACCTCACAACATCTATGATAGCGCCTTGAGGAAGGTCAAATGTATGACATTCTCATCCAAAGAAGTTTTCAGTTCGATCAATCAGAACCGATATTATGTCGTCTTGAACACGTACAAGCTAAGACCTCATCCGGTGTTCTTCTTTCCAGCCGCCTTCCTGATAGCCCCGACATCCCTCCCCCACATGACAGCCAGCGCCGCTCCGCCAGGTCCAACGACGGCACTCCACATGACCAACTTCCCCAAGTCCATCACAACCTGTCCAAGGCCCTTCGTCTCATACGCCAAGTAGGCAATCCAGCTCCACGTCGCCAAGGAAGCGCAGTACGTGTCCCACTGCAGCAAATCCAAGATCCCCTTCTCTAACGACACCATCTTCACCTGGGACCACGGCGAAGTAGGCCGAAGAATCTGCACCATCGCCTCGATAGCGGTCTCCAAAGCCCAGTCAGCCTTCCAGAAGACATAACCGATGACGCCGTAGGTCGTGACGGCAACAACAGACAGGGCGTAAGTGTAGATCCTGCGAAAGTCATTGATCTTCGTCTGCGGCCTCGACTTTGCGGCTGAAGAGACCACGCCAAGAGCGCTGATGAGTTGGGCAAAGATCAACTGCCAGATGTCGGACCAGAGGGGGAAGGCCTGCCAGACAGCGAGGAGGATCTCCTGGGTGCGCGGAGCGATGATACTGGGGCTCGGGAGCGCTGCGAGGAGCGTTGGGATGAAGGCGCCAAAGGTGAGGGAGCCGATGACCGCGCGAGCTTGGACTGGGTCGATGGAGATTGCGGCTGCGAGTTCGTCTGGTGTTAAGGACCCTGGGATCGGGGAGGTGTAGAGGTATGCGAGGAAATAGAGCGGTAGAGTGGCGCCGAAGGTCATGAGTTGCCAGAGCATTCCCCAGGAGGTCGTGCTGTTCACTTGTTAGGGTTGGCTTCTACCGAGGTTGTCAAGGACGAACTCACTAGGAGACCAGTCTTTCTCGGTTTCCGGCTCTCAGACCTTCAACTTGAATGAGAACATGCACGGCGAGAAGTTGGCCAGCCATGAAGATTGAGAACAAGGTAAGATTCGGGTCATTGCCGTCAAGGATGGGCTTGAAGAACCGGACGAGCATAGTGAGTAGGCTGTCCAGCGGCTTCAACGTGGTGAACGTAATCGGCTCTCCGGCAAGGGCCGACTCTGTGGAGTCCATGAGGCCATTGGTTACGGAGAGGTCGTAGATTGCGACCTTGGCTAGATAGAAGATGGAGAGGAACACGGCGGCGAACACTGGCCGAGACATGATGGCTATATTTTTTTTTTTTTTTTTTGATGATTGGAGATGCGATGAAGTATTTGGTGATGAGAGAATGGAGTCTGCGGTTGATCGTACCGGACCCGAGCGGAGTCATCCTGAGGTTAATCTCACCGTGGATCCCGGCGATCAGCTGATCGACGCAACTCATCTGAAGTTGTACCCGTTTCCATCCTCGGGAAGCTACTGTGTTCCCTCGGTAAGAAAAGTCATAGCATCTCACTTGATGGGTCTCATTGGCTAGCTCATCGACAATTGAGTCGATTGAATTTTATGTGATTTGTCTGAAGATTGAAAGTAAAAAGTATCCTCCATGCCTTTTGTGGCCCAACCTGAACGCCGTTTTGATGAATTGCTAATTACCTTGTAGAGCGATGATGCAGTAACATCACAGTTGTATCATGCGATTCCCCTCCTGTCCTTGCCTTGTTCTATGGTGTGTGCATTATGAGCTCGACGGCTCTGGGGATCCGGCAAAGCGGAACACGATGTAAAGCAGCGGCGCAATCTTTCTGAGTCATTCGGACCTCTTGCTTTCAGGCAGAGGCTGAGGGGACTCGAGCCAGCCGCGCGACGCAGCGTCCTTGATGCCATCGAACCAGATGTGCGCCATCTTTGCGTAGCCCGCGTCGCTGGGGTGCGTGCCATCAACGAGATCGCTCTTGAGCGGGCCCTTGTCGGAGTGCATATCCACGAGGACGACCTTCTTGGAAATCGCCTGCTGCTCCGAGGCTAGTGTCTTGTACTGCTCGTTGACCTTGAGGACGCACGCCTCCGTGTTGTTGTTCCCGTTCACGAGGAGGGTAGAGAGGACGATTGTGGCGCGCTTGGAGGTGTCCCAGATATAGTTCATCATCTCGAGCATGCGAACGTGCGCGTTATCCGTGTCATAGCTCTGCGCGCAGTCATTTGTGCCGGCGTTGATGAGAACCAGGTTCGGGAGCGTCTCGGGGACGGAGATCTTGGCCTTCGCGAGAACCTGCTCGATGCGGAAGCCGGACCAGCCCTCGTTGTCGTTGTCTTCCATTGTGCCGTTGGGGTGGTTGCCGACCATGTCGACGGGGTTCCCGTCGGCGACGAGGAGGTCGCGAAGGACCTTGCGATAGCCGTTGCCGTCTGAGGAGGTGAGGCCGTAGGTGATTGAGGCGCCGAGGGGCATGAGGCGGAGGGAGACGTTGCCGCCGACGAGGATGTTGAAGTCGGCTCTTGGGTGTAGTGCCGGGGATTGCTGCGCGGGGGCGGCGTAGACATTTGAGTGGGTTAGTGATGCCGTTGAAGATTTAGAGTAAAAATCTGGGGTATTATGGAAGATGAACTTACCAGCAGAGGTTGACGCCAATAATGTGGCTGCCCACCGGAGGAGGAAGACGTTTGAGTACATGATGGTGGTGAGATGTCTGATGCTCAAGTGATTAACAGCAGCGTGAGGTGTTTCTAGGTGTGAGTGAGATGAGTGAGGTATACGACTGCTACGATGAGACACTACAGACGCGGGTTCACGATGAGACGCATGGGCAGCAGAGAGGTTAAATAAGTATACAAGATGCCCGAGTGAAAGGATCGGATACCCAGAGCCAAGGAAATAAGCTCACATAGGCTGGGAAACGGATCATCTTGTGGCAAGGACACCCCCTTGGTGCGACTCGGTACCTTGCTTTGCCAGCTTGCCTTGCTTCTCTTTGCGCTGTGCGAAGCTGCACACTGCAAGCTCTAGTTCATTGAGAAACAACCCCCTTCGGAAGGATCAGACGGCTCATTGCGATGTTCATTGGACCAATGCCGTGTTCGGAAAAGTGAGGTGGGCGGGAAGAAGAAGGGGGGAGGGGGTGTGTGACACTAAGGCGTGCAAGGACGCGGGGGTGGTCGGACAAGGATGACGGAGGGGAGACTTTAGAGGAGCAGTGTCTGGATGACATGTCAAGGCGAAGGCGAGGCCGAGGGATAGGATTATGTCAATGAGTCCGAAGGACGGGATGATGGGTAGGGCGAGTGACAGGAGAAGGACGTTGGAAGTTCGGGGAGGATGAATGAGGCGGCGGCGGAGGCACGGCGGTGCGACTTTCAATCGCCGTGATCCTTCTATCAGTCTCGTGAGTTGTTAGTGTGAGATGAGATGAGCTGGAGTGAGAAAAGAGATTGAGTGTTGCGTGGACGGAGTGAAGGGCCCCAAGGTCTCGTTCCTTCGAATGTTGCCATCCATGATCTATTCGTACCGTCTATGATCTATTACACGCAAAGAAGAAAAGACACAGAGCAAGGGTCCGACGTTAGAATGTCTCTCGTCTGGAAAATACGGCACAGCAACATGGCTTAAGAGTTCCATTTCTTTGCATCTTTACATCTTAGCGTCGGTACCTGAAGGTGATATTTACACACTGAGTGCAACTCCCCGCAGAAAATTGAATGATCTCTGGCAGGGAAAATGAGTCTTGTCCCGCATTAGGCACCTGCCAATCTGTTTCACCAACCCTGTAAGTCTTCCACTGAGCTTCCATTTTTACCGCCATCTCACTTTTTCTCATTCAATCTCCATCATTATTGCTTGTGTTAAGCTGTTTAATTATTCTCCGTGGCTGGGGCTCATGGGATCATTCGGAGTGTGAGTGGTTCAGTGAGATTCACATAAGAGAAACAAAAGTACGGACAGGAATAATAAGACGGCTGGGTTCGGATGGTGAGAGGAGACTGTTCGGTAAAGAGTGCTAGTGAACTCGCGCCCCATAGGTGAGAATTTGGCTTCCCCGGCGGAGTCTAGAAGAAGATCCCGTATGGCTGTTTTTGGCGTCATCCCGCAGGCTTCAAGCATCGAACAGATCCCTGACCACCCTCTTTTCCCTCCTCATCCTCATCCTCATCGGCCAGTCGCCGTTGCATCTTCCTTTATCCGGGATTAGCTGTGGCTTTACACGCGGAGTCCCTCCGAACTCTTGGTCCCAGCAAATAACTTCCCGACGGCGGCTCAGTTTCACTCTTACAAACACAGCCGCACGCCGCGCTTCTCCAGCCTCTTCCTGTTGTCTTCCTATTTCCCACTCACTCTACTCGGTACAGAAGTCTCTGATGCTGCGCGCCCACGTCAGATGTTTTGGCCCGGACTAATCTCCCCGACTCCTGCGTCAAGCTTGATCTCGTTCCTGCCTCTGCCTCCTGTCTGTCCCACCGTTTCGTGCCTCTTCATTGCGCTGCTCGGATTCCCCTTGTCCGAGCCCCCTTCTGAATTCCAGGGCCTCCAGCTTCCAGGAGCCCTTCAAGGATCCCGGCTGCCGACAACGCGAGGGATTCGGTTCAATGACGGAATCATGTCCCAACCCGGGGCACCGTCCGGACTATTGATGTGCGTTCACGAAAGCTGACAGCACCCGCGCTCGACAGCGCGCCGGAGTGACAGAAATGCAGAGAGACGCATGTCCCTTGCGGTCGGTCCGAGTCCCTGACGTCAGGGATCGACAAATGCCAGCAAGGACGCATAACAGTTGAGAGTGTTTTTTCTTGTCGCGTGGTAGACCACCACCGGCGATTGCGCACTACTTCTGAAGGGGTCAGATCGGCGCTCTAAGTTGATCGCCTCAAACGATCTCACTTGAGGGCAATGCGGCATCGCGGCGTTCGCAGCAGGTGTGAGAAGCCAAGTCTTGGAGGGCCGGCAGAGATGTGCCAAGACTGTAATCATGGTCTTTCACGTGAGACGAAATCAGATCCATTGTGCTTCGCTGACGAGAGTCGGAGTATTTATGTGTGATAATGGATTGCATCGACATAGCATTTTATTGAAATCCGGCCCTGCAGCGCTGCTCTACAGGGAGCCATTCAGCTTCAGCCTTCACCGAAGGTCTTCACCGAGACTGTCATACTCACCGAGACCTCACCGAGGATCCCATTCTGAACCTAGAACCTCTGTCTAGAAAGCCTTCTCTTTCATTAAGGTCCTTATTTAATGCAAGAACTTGTGAAGTCATCTGATGAAGCTCAGACACAGGTTCATCTTCATCTTAAAAGACTTTGCCGTTGTGAATGACCAGCGACAAGTGACTCTGGTCTCATCTCAACTTATCTGCGGCCAATAACCGTTGGCTCCGTCACACCCTCCAACGGCCCGCTGCAGTGTTCCGTGTTAGTGCAGGTTTGGTTTTACCCATATTTTTGACACGAACACCATCAATGTGATCGGTTCGCGATATCGGAATGCGACCAGAAGCATGGTCTCGTAGTCCCTTATGACCTGATGCTTATCACGTCTTAGGTCCGTGGGTTGTTGTTGTTCCCCAGCCATCCCCGCCATGTCTGATGTGCTGGTCTTCATAAATGATGGCTGTCCTTGAGTTATGGGAATCAAGTGTATATATCCCTCACTCGGATCTCAAAGTCAAAGTTTTTATCCCTCGATATCTCAAAGACCCTTGTCGAGATCAGAGTGCCGAGTCGACTGCCGAAAGCAACCATGTCGAAACCTCTCCCCTCCCGTCCAAGTGACGATCACGACGACGAGAACTCTCCGCTTCTACCCCGCGATGCCCCCCCCTCCTCTCCCCACAACGAAGCCGATGCCGACACCAACCCCTCGACGCTGCTCCTCTTCCGCCGCGCGGTCGGCATAAACACCCACCTTCAGCCCGCCGACGACTGCGACCTCGAAGCAGGCCGCACCTCCGCCCTCGGCATCTACGCCTCCACCATCGCCGCCCACCGCCGCTTCCGCACCCTCCGCATCCTCGCCACCGTACTCATCTACAGCTGCCACGCAACGCAAATCGTCGTCGGCGGCGTGCTCACTTGCCTGGGCCCCAAGGCGGGGGTTCACCGGACAAGTATCACGGTGCTCGGCGGCGTGAATACCGTTGTTGCGGGCGTGTTGACGTGGATGAAGGGGCAGGGGATGCCGGATAAGTTGAAGAATAAGGAGATTGATTTCCGAAGACTGCAGAACTGGATTGAGGAGACGGAGGCGTTGATGGTTCTCGGGACGGTCGGCGGGACGAGGGAGGAGGCTGGGGGGTTGGTTGAGGCGGCGTATCGGCGATGGAATGCGGCGAACGAGCGGGGAGAGGACGGAGGGCCCGGGGAGGAGTACGAGGATGAAGGGAGAAAGGGGAAGGGCTCGACGATGAGATGGCTTCGGGGGCGGTGATACTCAGGTTTGAGATGCCGAATTTTTACTTGGTTCGTGCGAGTTGTGAGCAGTTCATTGATCTCATGAAGAGCGCGGTCCTTGAATCATATTGAGTTTCAATTTACATCTCATACCGACTTATCGTATTTCACAGCTTAGCCTTCACGACGACAGCATCACTGCCATTCTGCTGATTCCTCTGTCCCCTCCTCAGCATGGGAATATCATCCGTCACGCCAGGTATCTCATTCTCACACCATTCATGCCCACCCAAACCACTCGCCAGTATCGCACCAAACCCTCCCTTCTGACCCTTTTCCCCGATGAGAGCCTCCTGGTCAAGCGTCCCAAGACAAATACTACCCCACTCCTCCCCCTCGCTCTGGTAGTAAAGCCACGAGCCGCATTCTGTGCAGAACCCTCGCTTCGCCATGGGTGTGATGCTGAACTCGCGTAGCGTTGATGTGCCTTTGAGAGACGTCCACTTCATAGGCCAGGGAACGCGCTGAAAGGCGACGAAGAGGGCGCCGGATTGCTTGCGGCACTGGGTGCATTGGCACGTCTGGGCGTTGGCGTTGAAGTCGTGGGTGTCTGAGAAGGTCGCTTCGTAGCGGAGGGCGCCGCATAAGCAGCCTCCTGCTACCGTCGTGGGTTTTGGTCCCGGTGAAGAGGCTGAAGTCATCGTTGTGTGGTGGTGGGGGGTCTTAAAGGATATCGTGGTGTTGAGTTGTTGAGTGAGATGTGAGTTAGTTGCGACCGGTGAATGATGAGGTCTCAGGCTCTAAAGGCTCCAGATTTTGCAGTAAATTGGGGTTATTGAAACCTTCAAGACGAACATATGAGAGTCGAAGTTTACATGCTTAACAATCTCAAAGGGCGTGAGTTTTGTGTTGTGTTTTGTCAGCGTCTACGTCAGAGTTGTCATTGACGCCCTTCGCGATGCGGGTGCCGATAACACGAGCCATAGTCAAGCCCCGCCAATACTTGACATCGCCAACACCTCAGCGCAAACTTGATTGGACTGCTTAGGGATAAGAGTGTCATTAAATCGTGAATTGCATGTACAATCTGTCTATGAAGTCTTTCATATCTCTATATCGTACCCCTTCTGTACCTGTTCTAACCAGTCGGAACCGTAGAACCATACCTTGTCCTAGTTTAGTATGTCATTTCCAAGTGTGGATGTCTTCATCTCAGTCTCAATAGACAATGCAATTCATCGGTCCTCCTCATTCTCTGCAACCCAGTACGCTTCAATCTCAACGATACACGTCCGCGCCGGGACCGTAACAGCAATGGGGAATCCACCATAGTCCGGATCGTCATTAGGCATAATCAGAAACTCTCCGCTGCGCGTCTCATCACCATTGAACACCCGCAGCGTCCGTAGCTCACCCTTCTCATCAACCTCTTTCTCAGCAGCCGCAAGAATTCCAGTAAACGTTGCTTCCGGGCGCACGCTCTTGAAGTGGACGTTGAAGCCCCGTCCCACGGCCAGGAACTTGGCGTCGCCGAGGTGAATAATCATACCGCCGCCGGGTCCAGGCTTGCCAAACACGAAAGCGCGCTCGACGATGACCTCAACGTCGCCAATCACTTTGGTCCACCTCTCGCCCTTGCCCGCCGTGTTAATCTCCTCGTCAAAGAAGAAGCCGAACCTATCCTCGGGCTTCGCGGCGAGCAGATACGGCGCCACCTGCGCGAGCAGCTTGAACTCGCGCCCGACGATCTCCGGGCCGGTATCGATGCCAAAGGGGCTCGCGCCGAGGGCGCCGTAGGTGCCGTAGGACAACCACACCCGCCGGGCACCGTTCTCGTCGCGGCGCTGCTCGGGGATGAAGAGCGGGTTGCCCTGGGCCGTGTAGTCTTTGCACACGGCCTCGTAGGTATGGAAGTAAAGGTCCGGCGCGAGGAAGTCGAGGGACTTTTCGGCGGTGAAGATTGTGTTGTGGCGCCAGATGTCGAGGACATGCGGGCAGGGTCCGCCGGAGGGGTAGATGCCTGGTGCTGCGCCGCCGCCGACCACGATGGGGACGCCGCGGAGGTCGAGGTCGGCGGGGTCATCGAAGTTGAGCCAGGTGTTTGTGTAGAAGGGGATATCGTATTCTTTCTTTCCGGCGGCGGCGACGCGGCCGACGTAGGAGGAGATGTGGTAGGCCATGAAGGCTTCGTCTGCTGAAGGTCCGGAGCCGAAGACGGACGTCCACGAGTGCGAGCCCGAGGCAGGCGGGTCGGCGAAGCGGGCCTTGAATTTGGGGTGTAGGTCGGCTGATTTCTCGTTGAGGTGACGGAGGAGCGCCTCGGGTACGGGCGTGGCAAAGGCTTTGTCGGCGCGGCGGGAGCGGTCGCGGGAGTCGCCCAGCAGACCCGTCTCGTTCTCGACCTGGATCATGAGAACCGTGTTGTGCTCGGCGTCGACCTGTGCGAGGTGCTTGCACAGCGCGGCGAATGCCCTCGAGTCCGCCGCGCAGCCTTCCTCGCTGAGCGGCGTGACCATCTCAATGGTCCTCTTGACGCCTCCCTTCTCAAGGACCTGCACGCGCGGGAAGCGCTTAGTGTCTCGTTTTACCCAGTGCGGCGCGTACGTCGAGATGCCGTTCTTGTAGGTGCCGAACCACAGGAGTACGAGGTGCATATCGTGTTCCCGCGCACCGGCGAGCACAGCGTCGAGCTCGGAGAAGTTGAAGTTGCCCTCGGTGGGTTCAATGTCCTCCCATGTCACGGCGCCGAGGAGGGTGTTGATGTGGTTTGACTTCATGGCGGGCCAGACCTCGGACATGAAGCGGGCGGAGGAGAGGGAGGAATTGTGAAGCTCGGCGGAGAGCATGAGGAAGGGCTTGCCCTTGAGGTAGAGCTGGGTGTTGCCATTGGTGCGGCGGAGGTGAGGGAGTTGCATGGCGGGGGATTCTGATGCTGTCATGATGGGCAATTGAGAAAGAGAGTATGTGTGTTTGTGTTTGAAGGCAGCTGTGAACGAGACAGCGTGAGATCAGGGAAGAGTTAGAAGGGAGAGGGCAGAGAGCTGAAGACCACGGATTGGAAACGCTCGTCGCTCGTTGTCAGGTTGAAATAATGTCAGAATGATTTCGAGCCAACATTATCCCGAGGAGCTTTCTCTATCAACGAACCGCTTTTTGGAGGGTCTCTCGCCGGCGCCAGCTCCGCCTCGGAGAATCCGAAGATGACTTGCTGAATGGTTGTCCGGTGTGGGCTTCTATCTGCTTCCGGCAGTCGAAACGTCCGCCATTCGTCCGCTTCAAAACGTTTGAATGGGGAAGAGGATCCATTACTGCAGCGGCATGTCAGACGGGAGTTTGCAGATCGCCTGATGGGCCGAGTTCGATCCCTTTAGATGGCTTCGGATATTCTTCGCAACTCGACTTACAGCTTCGGATATGCCCTATTCTATCACTATTGTCCTATGTTCTAGTCCATGTCAAGGTGGGTTAACATTCAAGACTTAAGACCATTTCCCCGCACTTCTGATGACGCATTTTAGTTGGAGAAATTGACAGCTGGAAGAAGACTCTTTGATCCGAGTTCCAGGAACTAAACATGCGTTGACTTCGGAAATACTTCGCATCTGTTGAGGCTTTGGATCTCCTCAAACCCACAGTCTCCAGAAATAAATCTCCGCAACCCACAACCACGCCGGATGGATTGTGGATGTGTGGAGTCACAACGTTCCGTTCGGGCTGCCGCCGAAGAGAGTTCCCGCCCACCATCACATCCTCCTGGGGGAAAACATCATGGGACGTTTCGGTTCATGCATTAGGAAGTTGCACTAGTTTCGCGGGTTAAGTAAGTACTTTGGGTCATTTAACTTGTCTTTATTTCATTGCCTATTACTCTGCGGGCTCTCGATCCCAGGCAAGCCAGGCCAGCAGTCAATATCATCCAGCTTCCGCAGTAACTTTTCCAGCTTCAGCCTAGCGCCCTCACTCACCAGCGCGCCGTCGCCAACGTCCATCTGCTCCATGTACGCCGCCCCGCAGTCCCTCAGCTTCGGGATCAGGCTGTTGCCGTTCTGCTCAAGGACGTGCTGCGGCATGTGGTACAGGATCTCGAGCAGGTCATCAACGATGCGCTGGTGCTCCGCCGCGCGCGTCTTGACCGTGGAACCGAACTTTTGCAGCAGATTGGAGCGGATGTTGAGGCTCGTGATGAAGAGGTTAGCGATTTGTGTGTCGTGACCTTCTGTTATGTGAGAAGGGCGGGACAGACCCCCGCGCCAGCGTAGTTCCGGCGGAAAGTTGTCAATGATTGTTTGGATTTTGGCGAGCCAGTGCTTGAGAGCCTCTTCTTGGCCGCCGTAGAGGCTCATGGGGGCGGTTTGCGCCTCATGCCATATCAGGAAGAGATCGCTTAGCTGGTTTAACCCCGGTACGTAGGAAGTTGTATCGCCGTGCCACGGCGGTAATTCCGCGTGCGACAGCTGTGGCCCTGTCTCGAGTTGCGAGTCTGTCAGGGGTAAAGGGCGCAGGTGGGCGCGGTTCTCTTGATGAGAGACGATACTTACGGACAGTCTGCCGAATATGTCCGCACTACTGTTCAGATGAAGGAAAACGTCAACCGAAGATTATTCCTCATCTCGACTTTTCCAAGCTTGTGTTTGCGTTTGGGTGGGGGGTAAAGACAGGGGTAATTGCATTCATTCATGGGGACAACGTACCAATACGCCGCAAAGATCAGCCAAAAGAGCCTCTTCAGCAGCTGCTGCTCGGACATATCCAGGTCCGCCATGCGGTAGTACGCTAGGAACCTCGCCCCCGCCGCCGCCTCGGACATACCATGGAACGACCCCATGTCACCCAGCCCGTCCTCGTTCATCGAGCTGGCCGACGTGCCGATATTGTACATTGCGACGCACCAGTCCAGCGAGTAGACGGGCTTCCGAAGGCCATGGTCGAGCAGGTGCTGCTCCTCGATGAAGTCCAGACACCGCTCGACCGTGACGGGGCTGTAGTCGGCCCTCCGCAGCGTCGCTACCGTCGCGGCGCAGACGCTCACGACCAGGGCGCAAAAGGTGCGGTCGGTGTTTGCCTCGCCGGCTTTGAGGCGGTGCAGGAAGCGACGCCGGTGGAGGACAGGGGCGAGGGCGTGGACTTTCTCGAACCAGTCGTGGAGCATCCGCTGGACGAGGTCTTCGGAGGCGAAGAGGGCGAGACGGTCGCTGTGGTGGGATCCCGTGGTGGTGTTGGGACTCGGCGCGCCTGCGATGATGGCGCGCAGGTCTGTTGCTGAGTGAGGCGTGGCAGTTGTGTGAGGGTGAGGGTGAGAGTGAGAATGAGAAAGGGGTGTCTGAGTGTGGGTCGAGGATGAGGCGGCGGGTGAGGTTTGGTAGGCGAGGCCTACGTCTGGTGAGGTGATGTCTGATACTGAAGGACTCCTCTGGCTGGCAGCCGATGCGGTAGCATTTACTTGCTGTTGCTCGTGTTGTTGCTGCCGATGTTGCTGTGCGTGTCTGTCATGGTTGGTCAGTATGTGAGCTGTCGGCTGGATAGCATCATCCCATGATGAGATGAGATGCAGGGCTGGGGCTTGGACGGACTTGTTTGGTGGTCCCCTCCTCCTCCGCGGCCGTTCATGAGTGCATTGTATGTCGAGGAATGTACAGCCTTGGCATCGACCCTGTCCCGAGCCGTAGAGACACTGCCGGTCCAGTCAGTTCAACAGAGTCTGGGGTGAGATGGTTGAACTTCGGGACGAAAGAAACATGGGATAGAATTGACCAATATCGTCCACGGTCAGATGTTTACAAAAGTCTCTGTACGAGGTACTCGATGATGAAAACTAGTCATCATGGGTAGAGGTCTCGTGAGACATCAAGGGCTAGACTTTCGTGCTGCTCACTCTGACTTTGCGGGACCGACATGCGTCGCAGGCGTTCTGATTCCTGATAATCTTGGCCCTCGGCCGCCCACTGGCTGGTGAGGCGGGAGACGTCGAAAGTGGGGAGTGAGCCCCGTTTCCGTCTGGTGGTGGCCCAGTTGCTTGGTCGATCTCCATGATGTGTGGCTTGGGTGGTTGGTTGGTAGACGGCAGTAGTCTTTGTCAGACCGTATCAAAAGACCCGAGCCCGCTCACACTGATGAGCACCAGATTAGATCGGATCAGACAAGCTGCTGCCACTCATCAAACCTGCACAGCTGCGGGTTGTGTTCGATTCCCCGGATAAACCTCTCAGAATCCGGGGATGGAGCAGATGATCCAATGGTGGAGAACACAGCTTTCGGCTCTTTGCCTGTTTAGGTGGCGTTTGGGAACATGAAGCTTCCAAGCTGACGATATGGTAGGCTGGAGTGCGGAGAGGATGGATCAACGTCCGTCAAAACGTGGCCGCATGGGTCATGATTGTCCGGCGATATTCCCGCGTTTGTTCTGCCCAGAAGGAGGCCCAAAGAAACAAAGATGTTGGAGACTTGGAGTAGTATGGGGAAGGGAAAGTGTGAGAGAGGCAACGGTCGGGGGAAGGGCAGAGGGACATCCGAGGAGAATTGTCGGGAGTTGTGTATTTTGAACCTTCTTGCAGGGCGCTCTGCGTCGCAGAAACGTCGGATTTACTCCTTCTCTCTGCTCCTCTCTGCTCCTCTTTGCTCTCGTTAGCCTCCATGTGCTCGGAAGAAACTTGCAGGGAAAAGCCCCGCACTGGGGCGTTACGAATCGAGTCAGGCCCAGACTCCGAAGGGCATAGCTCCAGACCTTCCAGGAACTCTAACATTCCCTGCTTTCTCATGCTCATTGCTGGTGTTCGTACGAAAGAAAGCAAGTACACTGTGATTTTCTTCTGCAGATGCTTGTCGCTCGCTGGGTAGGAAGTCCAATTCTGTCATTTGGTTGGTTGGTTGAGGTTACCTTTTCCCCCAGACAATCCATTCTTCAGTCATTTTCATGGGCTAGCCCATCCGGACCGCTGGGTTGGAGGAACTTGAACGAATTTCTCGTCCCTGACTAACTAATTGACCACGCCATGCCTACCTAACCTTACTCCCAGGATGTGCCACAGACCAGACCTTGACATGAACAGGCGGCGAGCAGCTTTCCCCGGAACCTAAATGTGGAGAAATAATATTGGATCTTGTACTTCCTGTTCTCTTCTCTCCGTCCAGTCTTTTCCCTGAGATTCCCGCAATCCACCCCCACGGGGACTTGTCGCTCCAATGAACATCTAGTGTCTCGTGCTCCTACTTCTCGGTACTGGCAAAAACTTGGATACCCGCTTTCTCTCAGTGACGCCTCATAGGGAGAGGAGCAGCCCATCTTGTTGAGTTGTGTGGCCTGTTTGCTCAGCCGCTTTCAAGCCATCATCAGATACAGCACCCTCAGTCTTCACCTCGGGGATGGGCTGTTCAGTTCAAAAGCGGGAAAGGGCCACGGCACGGTTGGTGGGCGTTGAGCAATATCGAGATGCCATTCACCCAGAACCATCTACCGATTTATTATAAGTACACTTGCCCCGGTCCCATTACCCAGGAATCATAAGATGCGGCAAGCCGGCATCTCGGTAGCGAACACCAGGCCCTTCAACTCTTCTTTTCCGAGTGTTGCATTTTCCTTTTTGACTCATATTATACCCAACTCGCAACGAAGTCATGGATCTGAAGCAGAAGGAAAGTCACGGCGTTGACCACGTCGACGTTGCGGCTATGGACGATCCGCATCTACAGCCACCCGAAGCATCGACGCTGCCGTGGTTCAAGCAGACAGAGCTGAGGAAACTTTACTTCATGATGGTCTTCCTCTTCCTGGGCTCTACGACACTAGGCTACGACGGAAGCTTGTTGAACGGACTTCAGACCATGCAGTCATGGCAGACCTGTAAGATGAATGTGATGGTTGTGGCATGTTATGATTACGCATGTCACAATCTTCAAACGATATCTATGTCTCCAACGTCTGTGTACTGACGAACTCTCGTAAAGTCTTCGACCACCCCTCAGGAAGTCGACTCGGAATCTTCGGTGCCATGCCAGGCTTTGGCGGTCTCTTCGTCCTCTTCTTCGCACCCTACATCGCCGACGGCCTCGGCCGAAAATGGGGCACCGCCATCGGCTGCCTCCTCGTCATTTTTGGTGCGCTGCTGCAGTCTTTCCCCTTTGGATCTGGCAGGGACGCCATGTACCTCATCGGTCGCTTCATCATGGGCGCGGGATCCAATATTTCAAACGGCACTTGTCCCCTGCTCATCACCGAAGTGGCACACCCTCAGCATCGCGGCAAGGTCACGACTCTCTACAACACGCTCTGGTACTTGGGTAGTATCATTGCGGCCTGGTCTTGTATGTACCCAGTTCCCTGGAACCCGAATCATGGCATCTTACTAATGATTGGTGTGAAATAGGCTTCGGAACGCTCACAAAACAAGCCGGCGATCTACAGTGGCGACTACCTACCGGATTGCAGTGCATGATGCCGGGCATCCAGCTGATGGCCATCTGGTTTCTCCCCGAGAGCCCGAGATGGCTGATTAGCAAGGGCAAGGAGGCCGAGGCGAAGAAGGTTCTCATCAAGTACCACGGCAACAACAACGAAAACGACGAATTCGCGCATTGGGAGTTTGCCGAGATCACTAGCACGCTTCAGCTTGAGAAGGAAGCCTCGGCGGAGAGCGGTTGGATGGAACTTGTTCGCACTCCAGGAAACCGCAAGCGTTGCGGGCTCATTATCGCAACCGCCATCTTCAGTCAGTGCAGTGGTAACGGTCTGGTGTCATACTATGTGAGTTTTTTGTAATTTCAATGCAGCCCGCAGCGGCTCTGAGAGTTGTGGTCTCTGCATGTGGAGTTGGAGAGACTATCTATAGAAGTTGAATCTAATCCAGGTGTATAGCTCGCCGTCATCCTGGGCACTATTGGAATTAAGGAGTAAGTCTTGCGCCTTCTACAATGACTGCAGCCAAAGAAGCATCTAATGACGGTTTTCAGTTCCATCACACAATCATACATCAACGGCGGCCTAACCATCTGGTGCTGGCTCGTCTCGCTCACAGCCGCCTTCTTCGTCGACCGAATCGGACGCCGAGTCCTCTTCCTCTTCGCCGGCATCGGCATGCTCATCTCATTCTCCATCTGGACGGCCTGTAGCGCCGTATACGCCCAAACTCAGTCTTCCTCGGCTGGTATCGCCGTTGTGGCCATGATCTTCGTCTTTTACGGCGTCGCGGGAGCCGCTTGGCCCGGCTTGACTGTCTCCTACACTGTCGAGATTCTGCCTTACAATATTCGCGCCAAGGGCCTCACTTTGTGTTTCTGCTTCACTGCACTAAGTGGTGTCTTTAACCAGTGGGTCAACCCGCTGGGCCTCGAGCAGCTGGAGTGGCACTTCTACTTCGTTTACATCGCCATGTAAGTCCCCTTGCCGGATTATGCTGTCCTGAATTGAAACTGACGAAGCGGTATCCACAGTCTGATAATTGAGTGTCTGGTCATTTACTTCTTCTTCGTGGAGACAAGGGGTCCTACATTGGAAGAAATTTCCATGCTCTTCGACGGCAAAGATTCTGCGGCTGGAGTCGCGAGAGTTCACGCTCAGGCAAAGATTGAGGAGGTTGAGAAGAGAGAGAGCGCATAAGCATAGCACATATTGATATAGCAAGGAAGAACAAGCAGCATCAGTACAAGCCAACACTAAGATTTGGGCACGATCTGCTGCTATGACTTATAGGAGTTTCGTAACCTGGTGACGCCCCTAGCTCACCGGGAATTCATGTGAACGGCACATCCCACAGGCCTCTTATCCAATTTGAGCTTTCCACATTGTTCCAATTGGTCCCATTCTCTGCAAGGTTCAAGTTGATGTGGAGGCATGTGATAGCGATCCTACTCTGACCACTCACGCGCTACTGCTTGGACCTACTCAGTAATGGAAGCCTCGAGGAAGTATGCGTGGGGGTGTTGTAGTTTTCTAAGGCTAGGTAGTCTGCAGCGTCTTAGTTGTTGATCGATGACTAGACCGACAAAATGCCACCTTAGATCTTGAAGCTGTACCTGACGATCTTGGCGATGGCTGAGATACGCTCCACTTTTGAGCAGGTATATCACGTCAGGTTGGCTTCGAGTATCTTGACGTGCGAAAGCCATGATAGACCACTGCCCAGTGACGCTGAAACCAATGGTTTGGCTGGATGCGGACACATAGAATTTGTTCATCCATGAACATGTGATAGCCATGATATTGCCATCCACTCTCAGAAATCTCGGCCTCCGTGCCCTGGCATACGTTGCGTGAGGAAACTAAGAGTATTGAAGACCGCAGGATTTTTACCAACCGAGGACCTGAATGGTCGAAGTCTCATACGTAACCCTTTGTACTATATTACTTACCTGCTTACCTATAGGCAGGTAAATTGCGGGCAGGTGCTCTGCTCATTTCCCGTATTACACATATCGTCCTTTGTTGCAGCCACGTGCAGATTATGCTCACATATGCTCTCGGTTTCTTCGTTACCGGTGATCTATAACGCACTATTGGAGGGAATTGTTTTGCCTGGTCAATCTTGGCACCGATGTAGTGGTCAGGCTCCCCAGTAAGTATCCTTGGTGACCTGATGTAAGACTTCGCGATGCTGAAAGGTTGGGGCAAAGACAAGCCAGTGCAGATGAGACTTGGCTCGCAGCCTGCCAAGTACTCTTCTACTGCCTCTAGTGGTGGCAATGAGGGACGCGAGTACCTGTGCCACTTAGAACACATGGCGTACATGGCTTGGCAAGCAACCATCACGACGCCACATTCTCCAACTCTCGTCTCGAACTTTTATCAGTTTTTGACTTATTCCTAGATGATAATCCTCTTCCATCAGTCTCGCCAGGTTTATTGACTGAGAATACGTTATCCCAATAATCCTATGTTGGGGTTGTCATGCGAATATTCTTCTTTCGTAAAGAAAATGAAGAACGTTGCTTTCAGACGAGGCCCCTGAAGATACGATAGACAACTCTTGTGACTGGCACTAAGGCCCTGCTTATTGACCAATAATCTCTGATGCAAGTTAGCAATGTATTGCTGGTCACAGCTGGATTCTCCATCTCTGCCCCCGCACCCCCAACTACGTCAATCTTTCTTTCCCCGCAAGATCATCAGCCTCGCCTGAAGGCATCCAGACTTCGACCCATGAAGCCAAGCTTTTCTTTTCCCGGGTAAAATCCCACCTCTCTCGATTCCCCAATAATAATGAGCGGGGTGCGGGTCCGGGATCGCGCCGGCCGGCTGGGACATCAGCCTGGCGTTCACCAGCCGCCGCTTAAGCGTGGGCATCTCAACAAACGCCAAGCTTTGCCAAGGGGCTTGTAAGCCCATCCTCGAGCATTGATTCATGGGAATTCTGACCTTCAATCCTCCGTTGCATCCTTTCCTACATGTTCCCTTTCCCATGAGGTTTTGACGATCTAGTAGGGTAGCACCAATGACGGGGTTGGATGTGAGCTCTTGGAGCTATGTCATCCATCAACCATGCAACTCGGAGAGCTCTGAGAGGTTTGGACTGAAAGGTGAAAGATGTGGAAAAATTAGGTATAAAAGAAGCACGACGACCTGCAAGAGGCTCGGGTTACATCGAATGGTGAAGATTGTTCTCTCAGGTTCTTGATTGATCGCAGAAAGTCCGAGGCCTTTGACGCTCTCAACGCGACCTGATATTTTCACCGAGATCGTTACATACCGCAGTCACCATGAAGGTCACCAGCGCATCAGCTTTGTCTCTTCTGCTTGCTCTGGCCCAAGCCGCTGCCATTGAGCGTCGCCAGCAAGGTGATGGCCCAGGCGGATCCGCAGATGCGACGCAAGGCGACCTTGGTGAACGGCCACCGCCGCGGTTCCCGTTTCCTGTCACCAAGTTCCCGGTTCCGAACGAGACTGTTGTCCTTAAGGAAGCCATGTACATCCTTCCTGGGCAGGTCTTCGACGGAGGCATGAAGCGTTACGAGCGTGTTGAAGGCAGCTGCAATGAACAAGCTGGTATGTTTGACCCCGGTGTGATTTCTACTATGATACAAGAGCCTATACTAACTCTGTCCATCATTGCAGAGGGCACGGATGCCGACGCGGTCTTCAATCTTCTCCCTGGCTCGACAATCCGCAACGTCATTATTGGCAAACACCAGGCTGAGGGAATCCATGCATTGGGCGACGCATGGGTTGAGAATGGTAGGACAGTGTCCTGTTTTAGAAGTGCCAAGCTGATTGTGTGACAGTGTGGTGGGAAGATGTTTGTGAAGACGCCCTCACCTCGAAGGGCTTGAACACTCAATTGAGAGTGATTGGTGGCGGCGCTCGCAATGCCACTGACAAGGTCGGTCTTTCTATCTGCGCCATGACTAGTAAGAAAATTACTGACCTTTCTGGAAGATCTTCCAAGACAACTCTCTTGGCGGGAAGTACAACATCACTGGCTTCTATGCTGATGGATTCGGAGTTCGTCAAACCTCTCTCCATGCTCACAATGTTTAGAAATCCTACTAATGTTATACCTCAGACTTTCTACCAATCTTGCGGTAATTGCCTAAACCAGTCAAAGCGGAATGCAACCATTCAGAACGTCATCGCAGTCAATGGCAACAGGATGGGCATCGTGAGTACCCAATCATTATGCCTGGGTCTTGGACATGCGGCTAATATCCTGTCATCAACAAATTAACCCTAACTACGGCGACGAGATTCGCATCAAGAACACTCAGCTGAAAGACTTGAAGGTGATGGTCGACAAAGAGATCGCAAACAACATGCAAACCGTTCCTATCACGGTTGGCACCGGCCCAGATCAGAAGTACGCCCTGTACAACGAGACGAGAGACGCTATCACCGAGTGGGAAGGAATTGTGGAGAACGCATACGAGCCCGAGGAGCCATATGAGTGGCTTGAGGCTTACTGGCCGGATGGATTCAACTGATTGCCTCCGATGCGAGTGCTGAAGGCATGACACTGTTGACCAATATCCTTACTAATTTCCCCAAACAAATCGATAAACAACATTAAGAAGATGAGCTTTTCAGATCTATCATTTGATTACGTTGGGTGTGGCTGTCGGAGTTACTCGATCCTCTCTGGAGACCGAATCTCGTTGCCGGGACCCGGAAGCCCGACTGCCCCGGCCCCGAGTGACCCACTGAATTCGATACCCACCTCGCCGGCACGGCCCTCGGGCTATTGCGACATCGATGGAGTTGGATGTCATACGAAGCCAACAGAGAACAGGAGAAAGATGGGAAAGGTCTCAGTTGGCTCTTATCATTGCGCCTTGTCATGCAATCATTCTCAATAGAACCTAATCTGTCGGGGAGATGGTCTGTCAGCCACCTTTCATGCGTGCCGACTTCCGGTGTAATCCGGAAACCATGCATGTTCTCCCCTGCAACCACGTTGTTGGTCTTTGTGACCCCCCAAATGTCAAAAATCGATTGTTCCTTGCGGACACCGAGATCAGTCCGGATGGGTATTGAGTTGGCGCGTCACATCCAAGCCCTGCTAGCCTCCCTTGCTCTCGGGACAACACGCTACTGTATCGCAATGTCTTACTCGGCCGCGAGCCTTCAAAGCAGCCCGCGTCAATGGTCGCATCGTTGCATGTCCCCGCGTCAGTCTCATGCAGGTCGCACCCGTTGGCCTCGCTTACCGTCAACGGCGAAGGAGACTGAGCAACGACGCATCTTGATACTTGAAGCTGTGCTCGCCGCATGGAGCGAGACTGCAGCTGAGAATTTGGAAGGCAAACGAATTTGCAATAAACCCCTGCTGAGTTTTAATTGTCGGAGGAGGCGCAGTATTCAACGGGTAGCTGCGTGCAGGAGCTGAGCGTGGCACCATGCAAAACCAACAGAGTTGTTCGTTCGAAACCGTCAAACGGTTCGTCCCAGAGGATTTCGTTCCCCACTATTGAAAACGGCGTTTGGCATCATTGGCTACATTCCAGAGAAACCTCTGTTGGTCGGATAAAGGCCAAAAGTCTAGAGCTAAAACGCATTAAAGCTGGCAGGGCTCGTATTGACAGCAGCCGTGACAAGTCTCGGCTTCGGACAGACTCAGCTCCAAGGGGGGGTAGAAAGTTGATCATTTTCTTTTTTGGGGTGGTGATGCACAAAGTGTTCGTCCACGGGACCGGTTGCATCTCTTTGCACCAACAGGCCTTGGCAATCTGCCCTGGCAAACAGTCCAACCAGCCAACCTAAGACATGGCCCACGCCGTCATAACTAGGACCGCAAGGGATATAGCTGCCAGCGCTTTCCCACTCTTTCCCTCCCGCGTTGTTCGTCACCGTCCCAGCCATTCTTTTTCTCCGTGGCAAGTGAGAGCCGAATTGTTGCCCCTCACGAACTTCTCTCCTCACGACAAGAGCACATCCGCGAAAGTCTACCGGTGGACTGCGACGACAACGAAGGAAATCTTGTTGACGGGGGAGGAATGTGGGACAGGAAAACATCATGAGCTCGTCAAATCCCTACATCAGCAATGGTACATGCTACCACGGACCAGGAGACGAGGTGGGAGAATGGTTTCCGTGTGGAAATGCAGACCTTGGGTACAAGACTTGTTGCCAGGGCGGCGACATGTGCTTGTCAAGCCATGCTTGCTACAATGGTCGGTTCGGAATCACATATCTCGCGGGCTGTAGCGACCCAGACTATCGAGACGCGAGTTGTCCGGATAAAGGAGCCATGAGTGGTAAGTCGCAGTCGCCATAATGAGAGAGATGTATCCATGGGCATGAGACTAATTATTTGATATCAAGATCAACCATGGGCAGGTCTAGTTTACTGCAACGGCACTTCAGAACAATGGGTGGCTTGCGAACAATCGGCGAAGCCCACGACTTTGACATCAGCAGACGCGTGCTGGTGCCCACAAACATCCCGAACCGTCGCCTTCACCGATTCCTCAATCCTCCAAAACGTTGTACAGCTTCCGACCTCACTTGGAGGAAGCGTCATCTGGCAGCCTGGCTATGTCCCGATTCTTACACAGCCCAATACAACCCCGACTCCAACTTCACCTGCCCCGACGACCGCTCAAGCTCAGCCTCCCACAACAACAGCATCAAGCACAACATCACAGCCGACTGCGACACAAAACTCTTCATCAGACGATACGGCGGGTCTGACGACAACTACCAAAGTCGGACTCGGCGTTGGTATCGCGGGAGGGTGCCTGGTCCTCATGGCTGCTTTGATATACATATGGTACTCCAGAAGGAAATTGCGACAAACGGGGGCGGCAGAGATGGATAATGCGACTGAAAAGGGAAATGGGCACGAAGGCGGTATGGCCAAGCCATATGAAGCGAATTCGGCGCGGCCAGAGTCCGAAGCAACTGAGTTGGACGGCACCTCCCGGCCCTTCAAATTCGAACCAGCGGGCTTTGGATACAGGGGCAGTCCAAAATTGGAACCAGATAAAGGATGGGCACAATCGCCGAAGACTCCAGTGGCAGAGTTGCCTGGATAGGGCTGGGATGGAAAGTGCTTGGATATACCAGAATAGATTAAATAGGATTGTTAAGAAACAGGTATCGTTTGGGTATCCACCGCGTCATTCTAGTTCTCGGTCGATCCAGCAGGTCGCTTAGTCTCGCCCTCTGTGGCCGAGCCGGATGATTCTTGGACATTCAGCATCGTAGCGGCGGGGTTGTTGGTCTCTGAGACGTGGTTCGCCATGCCGTACCAACAAACCACGCAGATGCCCAGAACGCCTGAGATGATGCTGAAAACAAACGCGACAATTCCCTTGGCAGTGAATCTGAAATTTTGTTAGAGGTACATCTAGGCCGTGAGGAGTTTGATACTTACCCAGCCGGGAGCGGATCGGGAGGTGCGTTCTGGCCGCTGAGGTCCAGAAGGTTCTTGGTGTTGCCAGCAGCGTTACCTGCAACGGGCACGTTTCCAGCTGCACAAACATCGAGATGGTTCTGCGGCAGAGTGAGGGACTTTTGGATCTCCAGCGGCGCCTCGATAAAGGTCGCCAGCAACCCCGAGGTAACATGCCACTCGATGTGGCAATGGAACAGCCAGATGCCTATATGAAAAGAGGATTAGTATAAATCCCAGTTTCAACCATTACGCAAGGACATATTACCTGGGTTGTCTGCCTTGAAGCGGAGGACGATGTTCCCATCGGGCCAGAGGACGAGAGTGTCGCGGCGCATAGGGACGGCGGGGAAGTCACTCTCAGTCATGTTTGAGTCTGCAAAAGTACCGCTCTCTTCTTCACCACGGTACAGAGACTGGAAGTGATGCCCGTGAAGATGAAACGGGTGGCGACCGGAATCCAGGTTGTTGACCACGATTTGAACGATCTGGTCCTTCTTCAGAACAAAGCTGTGGGTGTAGTCGCCGTAGACTTCGGCATTTTCCGCATCGGCACCGGTTGTAAGTGCAGTGTACAATGACGGAACCACTGGTGCCTTGTAACTAATGTTGTTGAAGAACGCATAGTTGGCACCATCACCCAAGTTGTCCATGATGACGTTGAGCTCAACGGTCTGGTCTGGCTCTCCGAAACGAGCCAACTCGTCGTGTGGTACCAGCGTCATGTCGTCAAAAGGATTGAGCTCATCGATCAATGCCGGCTCCGGAAGTGAGTTGCTCTCATTGTACACCAACCACCCTGTGACGTTCCAGTTCAGATCATCGGGCAAAGTGTCGAACAATGTCTGGAGGTGAAAATATCGACATTAGCATTTGAGATGGTTTCTTCACGAACGGCCTTATGTGTCTGCATCATTCTGGAAGATTCAAGCTTACCGTGTCCATGCTACCGACAATGGCGAAGTTCTCGGCCGTGGAGTTCTTGGTTGTGAGAAGGAAGCTGCAGCGCTGGGCGACGGACAGGTAGATCATCTCAGCAGTCGCCTGTTGTGTGTAGACACCGTCAACTTCGATAATAGACATGTTGTGCCCCTCAAACCAGAGATATTGTCCTGCAAAAGCACCAATGTTGATAACGCGCATCAAATAGGTCTTGCCTGGCTGAATCGAGATGGTGAGGTTCTGCGTCTCATTCATCAACGCTGCCTTTGGCACAGGCTCCGCGCCGGTGGGGTTCGTCTTGCTCATGAACGGCGGGATGAGGTTCTGCATCTGCTCATGGTACCAATCTGAAAGCGTCAAGACGATTTCCTCGTCGTAATCCCCGGCATAAGGATTGTCCGGATCATGGATGATGAGACTGCCGCGGAGTCCGTCTGGGTACTGGGACATGGTGTGCGAGTGATACCAGTATGTGCCCGGTTGGGTGATCTGGATCACCGTGAAGATTGGCATCAGTAAACACTCCGTTGCTAGAGTTCGTAGCCATGCGAACTATAACGTTATAAGGTGTGACTACTCACGGTGAAGTTGTAGAGGAATGATGAGCCCGGCGGGATGGGGCATTGCGACACCTGGGCTGGACCATCCATGTGCGTGGTCCCGTTCATGAACAGCCCGTGAAAGTGCAGCGAAGTGGACTGGTTGCCCAAGTCGTTGTGCACGTTGATCACAATGTTGTCGCCAATGTTGGCCTCAATCTGGGGAATGGGCCATTTTCCATTGATGCCAATGACGGGGCGGTCGAAAGCACCGTCAGGGTTGGCAGTGACCCAGCCGACAGTGAAGTCGTAGTTGACTGTCGCTGCAGCAGCGAGCCGCGAGGCCACGCACACGAGCGCGAGAGACAGAGTCTTGACCATGGCGATCTCGGTTCACTCTATGGTCCAGTGAAGATGGTCTATGGCGTGTCTTCCGAAGGCTGTCTCGAATGACAGAAGTAGCCGCGATGGGAATTGGCGAGGAGTGCGATGTCCTGGCTGGCTGTCGATGAGAGGAAGACGAGAACTTATCTCTGGCTCTTCGACATGAAACGAGGTGGGTGGCACCCTACTGTAAGGGAAAGAAGGGAAGATAGGAGGAGCAACTGTT